GGATGGGAGACTGTGATGAAGTGATTCAACACAATCTGCTGCTTTCTTCTTCTTTAGATCCCTTCATGACCTCCACCACCAGTGTCAGGCCGCGGAGGGATTAAATATTCTACCCCTAACTTAAAGCATCTCGTATGAGATTACAGCTTCACTCAGCACTCTCGTCCTCTGCCAGGGTCCGAGCGCCAAACTCTAATGCCATTTATGTCATAACGTTGTTGGTCCGGTCATGTCAATAAACCTCCAAAATGTCGTTCTGTCACGTGTGAGTCTTTCCAGGTTGAAATGRCATTGGTGGGTCGGGGGTTAATGTTTAGGACTAAGGTGTGAACTGAGTTTAAGTTAGGTTTAGGGTCAGGTTAGGTTTAGGGTAAGTGGTCAGGGTTAGGCTGTAGAAATCAATGGAAGTCAGTGCAATGTCCCCATAAAGACAGTAAACCAGACCTGTAAACCATGTGCACGTGCATGTGAGTGTCGACATGTGCTTAGGTATGCAGCTTGATTATGTGAGTGTGTGTGCTGTTAGACGTTTCTGGTCKAAGGAGGATACAGGCGCTGAGGCCACTTCCCACCAAAGGAAACAGGAGCAGGAGTTTATAAACTCCTCTGTGTMTTTCAGTTGGATCCAGAATCAAGTGTCGTCTCATCAGCATTGCACTGAGGTTCCATTTGCTCCACATCTGCAGTTTTGTAGTGGAGGAAGAGAGAAACACATTCCAAGAAATGGACTTTGAAATCTACTGGCTGAGTTGAAGTGATTTAACACTGATAACGTCTGATCTGAAGAAYACCTGGCTGACTGCTCATCAGATTCTACATCTTGGACAATCTGCACCACCTGCATCCATGTACAGCAGTGGCTACTCTCAGGTCAACAGCCCTGAGGCCAAACGAAAGATGCAATACCGCTCAAAGGGCAAGAGCTGTGGCTACTACATGCGCATCGTCTTCTTCTTCTCTTCTCTCATCCAGTCCCTCATCATTGTGAGCCTGGTGCTCTTTCTGCTCTACGGGAACAAACAGGACACCTCTGTGGGAGACCGAGTCCAGGACCTTGAGGAGAGCTTCAGCCGACTCTCCATTGAGAACGTGGATCTGAAGAAGCAGAGGAAGAACCTGACCAACCTGCTCAACGTCACCCTCACTAAAAAGGCTAACATCGAGTATGACCTGTTGACACTGCGTCGTGCCAGCAACATAACAATTAATCTGTTCAATGACACTCACAGGAAGCTGGTAAGAAAAAAATTAACACATAAATATTTACACACACTTTTTATTTATTTTATACATTTATATCAGTCAGCTGTGGTGAGCTTTTTGAATTGGACTGACTCTAGAAATGAATCATTTACAGATGTACATCCAATGATTACTTTCTGAACGTTTAACTAAAATCCATCATAAAGTTCTTGAGATATTACGCTAACAGACAGCATTGACTCAAACAGGTGTAACATTTTAGGCAAAGATCAATGGGTAGAGGTCATTACTAAAATCATCTTGTGTTGAAAAATGACAGAACTGTAACTTTGTAAATGATGTGCACAGTTAATGCAGTCCAGCAACCGATGCTCAGGGTCTGGATTGTGAATGGCTCTCAGCAACTACCACTTTACAGTTTAGCACAATATCTGCACCGTTAACTGAATACGTGATCCATCATATCGAAATGAGGATTAGGTCAAATTTCATCATAATAACCTAACTACATTTTCATATTCCTGGTTTTAAATGCTATATTTGGATCATTCTGATATCATAATTTAATCCATATTTATGACTTAATTTGTCTTGTTGGTTAATTTTATGTCATTTTAATGAGGAAGTTTTGATGTCCTTATAAAGAGGAAACC